CAATTTTATGTCCGCAGATGATCCCGCAAAGGATCCCAAGGACTGGTATGTTTTCAACTTAATTTGGATTCAAAAGTTACCCCCATATAGGACTTCTTGCTGGGTTCTATCCCATACCCATCAATATCGAGCGAGATGTGGCATGCTTTACGCTCCCACCTCTGACTGAAAAGTTGCCCCCTATGGTTATGTTGATCGATATTAAGCATATCTTAGTTTAAATTGTCTATGCATTTCAGTTACGCATAGAAGCAGGATTTATAGATTTTTCCTCATTAAACACTGGATAGGTGTTGTTTGGTTGTTTGGAGTATATAATATTGAAAAATAGGTAATTCGTGTGTGGATGCCAGAAGTTTTGACTGCATCCGATAGTTATGATCCTAGCCATACGTGTTGTATTGTGAACAGGGTTGTCGAAGGGAGCAAGGATGGGGGATCCAGCTGGCATATTTTGGATCAACAAATTAACCAACTCTTTAAATGGCGTTATGAACAGAAATTATACATGATAAAATCAACAGCTTTCCCATCAAATCTTTTCAGGTAAACAGTTAATCTCAGCTTTACTATTTACTAACTACGGCTAAAAATTTTGAAAACTTCATATCTAAGTCTATGTTTAATTTACGAAAACATTCTCTAAATAAAATTTTATTATATAGAGAATTTGAACAGAATTAGAATATAATTTTTTTACTTTCACATAAAATTTTATTTATAATCAGTTCTTATTATTTTTTAATATGTTTTATATGTACACTACAAATACGGTGTTCAAATAATTAAGATCTTTACACTGTATTTAAAAATCACGAGTTTAAATCTTATTAAAAATATAAAATTAATCAGTTTGTGGGTCTATTATAAATTAATAGTAACTAAACATAATATTTAATTCAAGAAAAATGATAGATTTTAATAATCAAGTTCATTCTCATCCCAACGAGTAGTGAGGTATCTAAATGAACGGAATATTTTATAACAACTAAATTCTCTTATTTGAAGTAACATCACGAATCAAAAAGATTGATAAGTATTTATTCTTTCAAAAAAAAATACATTATATATTCTAGTTGAAGTGTTAATTTACCTATAGATTTTATGAAATTTTAGAATTTATATCTGCAACTCTTTAGATATAAAACTAAACTCATATTATGAAAACCAGGTTCCAGTTTCTGGCTGTACGCGACGTTCACTCAACTGGGCTGCAGGTAGGTAAGATTGACCTGTATGCAAAGAACAGTTAGCGGGCTCCTATGTGCGCTGAAGAACAAGCTGTACCCAAATCACTTGGTTGTTCTTCTGGTTTTGTTCTTTCTGAATATTGTTTCCCCCTACTGTCTTCCTGAGCATGAAACAAAGATAACTGGTGCTGGTATGTAGTATTGCGATTTCATACACGACATTTAGCAAATCATGAATCTGTC